TTCTGCTCGTGAGCTTCAAGAAGGAGTCTGACTGCCCCTGTGCCTTTGGCTGACTTCTCGTTCTCTTGGGAGCATTTAAGGATGCCCGCTGTTTAATTAGATGGCAGTATTTGGAGAGTTGAATTTAGGTCTTTCCCTACTTGAGTTCCTTCTATGGAACGTGATGGAAGCGATACATTCCGTACATGCGCTGTTGGATGAGGGAAAAAGAATATACAGTGTCACTCCTTTTTCTGCTTGTACCTTTGACTTCAAAGGGAATTATCACCTTTCCATGCAGACCGAAGGTGCGCTCACCATTCATGTTCGATCATCTGTGTCAAACCCCCAAACTCGCTGCTACTCATAGCAACTCTGTATAGGCTTCCCAGGGCTAGAAATCTGTACAGGAGTGTAAAGCTTCGTCTTTCTTCCTAGGACATGGAGGATAGTGGGTTTGAACCACTGATGTTGTGGTTAGCACTCGAAGACCTACCTGACAGCAGCACTGGGGCTCTGTGTCATCTGTGTTACTTCTTATTAAATCAGCGTGTTAACGTCGGATATGAAAAGGAACTGCTGCACGTGGGTACTTACCTTTCTCCTAGGAGTTCCATCAGCAACGGTGATCTGGAGGGAAGCGCCCAAACCACAGTCATTGTTTTATAAATCTCTGCTTGTCGGGTGTTCTTTGCATTCGAAACATTTTCTTAGCTTTTCCATTAAATCCTTACTGTTTTCGTGAATTGCCTCTCTAAATTTAGAAGTGTGTGTGTGTGCGTGCGTGCGTGCGTGCGTGCGTGCGTGTGTGTGTGTGTGTCATGGTCTCAGACTGTAGAAGTTGCCTGATTTGGGGCTCTGTGAATGGGAAGTCTGTCCATCTGTTTGTTGGCTCGCTAGTAACTGGGTTCACATGGGTTTGTGTGAGGTTCTAGTTTTAAGACTATTAAAGTCATGAGGCTTGATCCCGACTAAGAGTTCATCTATATAATTTAATTCCCGTTTTTAATGTTGTGTACTTTGGCTGTTTGACTTAGAACTCTTATTCCTGGATAATAGTTTATAATAGTTTTAGTCAACAGATATTTAATAGGGATCAGTTAATGTGTCTTGAGGTTAGTAGGTCATTGGAAAATGATGAAAGAAGTGTAAATATAGTTCCTGTTCTCAAGGAGATTAAGCTTCATTAGGTAAACAATACGTGTGCACACTAGTTTGTGGATGCCATTTAAGTCATGATTCATGGCAGACAAGGCATCAGATGTTCCAGGAAAGTTTAGTGCAGGGACAGGAGACTTGTTTGGGTCTTAAGGATCGGCCTGTCTGGATTAAGCGTAAGAAGGAAAGGCAGGATGGTGGTAAACTGAAATAGCCACCTATCTTTCACAGCGTTGAGTTCATTGTCTTTCAGAGAATCCTTTAATTTCTAGCTTTGAAGCACTTAGTGTTTTGTTTTGAAAATAAACTGAATATTCAGGTGTGATTGAAAATATTTCTGTGTCTGTGTGTGTGTTGTGTATACACACATATTGCTTAAGGTTCCAGTTTTAATACTATGTTAGGGTATGAGACTTGAACTAAGCTCATCTGTGTAATTTCACTAGGCTTTCTTTTTTTAAATGTTATGTACTTTGGCTAACAAGGATATTTATACTTCTTTCATATTACATGTACAGGCTTAAAAGACTTCATGGGAAAAATTATCCTGTCATCTCATTTTCTGAAGCTCCTTCATATATATGTGTGTACACATGCACACGTTTTTAAAATTATTGTTATAGATTAGGGAGAACATTTGCAGAGCAAATTAGTTTCCCAAGAACAATTTCTTTATGTACATGTTCCATGATGTTAGTTGCAATCTCCTCAATGTCCCCCCACTCTTCCCACTTCCTCCCTGGCTTCTCCTCCTGTTCCCCCATTTCTCCTGCTCCTTCCTGCCTTCTGGGCTCGATTTTGGTCATTGCTCATTAGTTTTACTTATAGGCCTATTGTTTGGCTGAAAGGTGATTTCTGGGAATAAGTTGAGATCCAGGGTGTAGCTTGTCTAAGGGCAATAGTCTTGGGGTTCCACCAGTCTCAGACTAGTAAGAGTGGTCTTTTTTATGATTTTGACTTTTTTTCTTTCACTCTGTCCTAGGACCTTTTATCCTGCTTGCAGTCAAAGAGATTGGTAGCATCAGCCGGGCACCGTTCCATTCTTTGGGTCACAGGCTAGTGGAGGCTGTGATTCTTGTGGTTTATTAGCCCTGTGGACTAATTGTTTCCTAGGGTCTTTGATTTACATAATTAATATTTTAAAAGTCACAAGAACTGAATTTAGTTAGCTTGTGTTCTACCTAAAACAGAACCAGACCTGTTATTGAGTTGCTTCTGACCTCTAGCAACTGTAGGACAGGTTCCCAAGGCTGTAGTTTGTACAGAAGCAGACTGCTGTCTTCCTCTGGCCCCATGGCTAGTAGATAGGAGCCACCATCAACCTTTCAGTCAGTAGCTGAACACTGAACCAGGACTCTTGTAACGTGTGGCTTAGATACTGTTAAAAATTTGTAATCGTAGTGGGAGAAGGGTTAAATTTGCTATTAAAATTCTATGCAAATATCTGTGTTCATGCAGCATTAAACCTCCCAATATATTACCTCTTGGGAGTAGATATTTCATTAGTGAGTTTAGAACAATTGTGCTTATAGTTTCTTATGAAAAATAATTGTCCAGAAGTCAGCATGCAATGATAAACGTGTTTATTGAAATTAATCTGGATTGTCTGCTTCTCTGCAGTCAGGTGAAAAGTGTAGAATTGTTAAGTACTGTGGGGGAGAGTGAGTTACGAGTGATTCCGCATTCTCTGATGCTGGCGCTGCTTGTTGAAGATGGTGACCATTCCAAGTTAGTAGTTGTCTACCAGAGACTGAGGAGTTCATTTTTAATCGTTTTATTAGGAGCTCATACAACTCTCATCACAACCCATACATACATCAATTGTGTAAAGCACATTTGTACATTCATTGCCCTCATCATTCTC